TCCTCATGAAATAAATGAAACTTTATTTTTTGTACGAAGGCAAAGTTCACCTTTGATACTGTGCTTTGTACTGTCACACGAAGAACCTCTCTCACTGTAAGAAGTCTGTATGCTATGGTTTGTCGAACAGTAATGAAATTTAATCATTTTTACTCGAATCTAATCCGAGCATCTAAAGCAAGAGAATAGTGCAACTCATTAACCAAAGGTGCTTCGTAATATTAAAGACTTACAGGGAATATAGAAGTAACAGCATTATCTTGATTGAAATTAATCGATGAAACCAGGTGAATCTACAATAATTTATAATGCACTATCTATCTCAGTGCTCACTTCGTGGATTTCTCAGCTGTGAGCCATTATAACAAATATATTATTTAAAATAACAGTATTTTGAAACAGAAGTTTGGTCAGAGTATTCGGAACTGTTATTTTGGTAAGTGTCTGATTTTTATATTCGTTGTGCAACTCAGATGATGATACATAATTAGTATCGACGAGAAAGTGAGTCGTAATAATATATGCATGCATCGTTTATCAAAAACACGAAGGTAGTCGAAAGGAGCGCGTTGATGTTACACATTATCGTCAATTTTTCTACTTAGAACGTATCCTTTGACGTCACTGCTCTATGCGGCGATTATGTTATCAACTTCCAGTACTTAATATTCTTTCGCCTGTTTTCCCTCCATCATAGTTTACCGATCAAAAAGCTGCCAAAGAATTAATAAAGAACACCTACAGAATCACGTCACTTCAAAGATCTCGCTTTCATTACATATGAAGACTGCACACAACGTAGTTTAATAAAAATTGAAACAGGATCAAGATGTACATTATGATACCTCCGACGATCTACAAAAATACACAATATTGTCAGAGAATTAACAATATCTTAACAATATCAAATTAACTCTTTCGAGAACGAGTTGACACCTCCAAGATAGAATTCCTTTGGGTTTCCGCAAAAAGATTGTCTTCTACCACCAATTATCTTGTATCTAATTATTTTTTATCACTCGTTATTACTGACAGAAATTTCTAGTAATAATAATAATATACATTTTCTGATGGTTTTATAAAAAAGACAAAATGTACTAAGATCAGAATCAGTTTCACCCAAAGCAAATGTTTTAACGGATAATGGTTAAAGTAACTGCAGCACCGAACGCGAAAGAGTTAATAAATCAATCGACTGTAGAAACTTCATGAATAGTGTTGGTATTACCTTTGCGAAAAATGACGAATTCATATCGAATGTCTTTGCTGTGAATATGTTTGTCGTGTGCATTATTTGCAGAGAAAAAAGCTCCACCTGCAATTTCATAATTAATGTAACATTAGAACGTATTTCGTATTCATACATACGTATTTTTTCCGAGGATCACGTAACGATTTTATTCGGACCATGGCTACAATAATTTGACTGTAATTTTATACCTTTTTAAATACAATTAATGAGGTAGGATGACCATATTCTATTAATTATATTTTGATAAGTTTATATATTTCTGTACATTACACATCTGCATTCTGAACATCTGTGCGCCTTTGAATTTCCGCAGTTTGATAATAATAGTATTACTATAGTTAAATTGTTACCTCGCGTTTCACGAATGGATCGTTAGTAGCACTGAAAACATCCCAAAGTGTCGTCTTCATTTCTCTCGCTCGATTCGTCGCTGTTTCACATGCCCAAATCATCACCCAAAACTTGATAAAATAGAAAATGGCTGGCGTGACAAACGGTTTGTACCAGAACTTGCTGTTTGCAGGAAATCCGCTGTATGAATAAATTATATAGAAATATATATCGAAAGTGACCACGATGAACGTCGTAATA